ATGTTATTATTATGTTATTCAAACAATGGTTGCATTCATTGCATCATTACTAAGGCCAAACCATGTAGTCTTTGCTTTTGCCCCTAGATGATGGGGAAGTCCTATTTTTAATGTGTCATTATCCTCTTTCATGGGGGGATCTTTCAGCTCTGTTAGGAGAGATGTATACCTCTGGTCTCATATGGGCTGTTCCCCTTTCAGACTGGACACAATGAAAGGTGGCTTGGCCTGCAATTTAAAGGTTTGTGAAGGGCAGCTGATATGGTCACTCAACCTGAGACATCACCAGCACACATCATTACTGCATTTTGACTCAGACTGAAGATGGCTTACTAACCACCTTGGCTTTTTAGACTTACAATGATGTGTCTGAACAGGATCTTGCCTATCATCTGGTCCAATGCCCTCCATTCCTAAGTGAAGGAACTCAATCCAGAGGTCCTATGGCCTAATTAATACAAATCAGGAGTAGGACCCAGAATTGCTGACGCTATTCCAGTTTTCCTTTCCTTCTTGGCTTTAGTTTCTTATGTGCCCAGATGCCCATCCACCTCCAGCGTATCTTATGCTTTGTCTTCTGCTGTCCACCCTTCTAGTCCCCTTGTCTCCCTCAACCCTAATGCATACTGTGCTTCAGCTAAGCATCACCGTTCATTCTTCTCTGAGTACAACACTGATGGTCTTTCTTCTGGACCTTGGTTCCCATTGTTTCCTCTGCCTAAGATTCCCTTCCCCCTAATCAAACTGTTAAAATCCCCACCCATCTTCAGGGTCAGTGTAAATGCAATCTCTGTCATGCATCTTTCCCTGGAATACAAAGCTGGAAATAATTTCTCCATCCTCTGTGTTGCTATGACACTCTGTATTTCTGTTGGAACATCCATTAGTTGTACCTTTTTTATAGTTGTTTATTCTCATTTTTTCCTCTATAAAATTATAATCCACCTGCATGCAGAGATTCTTTCATCTTTGACCCTCTTCAGTGCCTATCACAGAAGGTTCCATAGAGTAATAGTAATTGGTATTAAGCCCCATGTTTAAAGTTTTACGTGGATTCTCCCAATAACCCTATGAAGTCAACGCCATTATTAGTTTCATTTTACATATGAAGAACCTGAGACACAGAGAGATTGAAAAACGTGCCTGAGATAACACAACTGGGGACTCAGTCTCAGGGATGCTGATGCCAAAGTTCAAACTCTTATCTACAATGCTACACTTCCTTCTAACGACTATGTGGGGACCTGAATCTCTTTTATTATTAAAAACTGAAAAGATAATTTGTACTTGGAAAGTATTAAATACTTGAATCTATAAAATTAGTTGTTCTTCAAGTGAGGAAGAAAAAATGAAAACACTGAATAAAGGTTAATATCCCTCAAATTTTTCTCAGTAAAAAGTGAAATGCACTTCATCAAATTATTTAAAATTTCTGATCTTCTCTATTTCGAGAGTAAAGTGTAAGTCCTCTCCCAGAAAAGAATGATTTTATAAAGTGTAATGTGGTTTATGAAACCTTTAAAATGCATGGAAGGAAAGAGAACAGCGTGAGTCATTATTATTAGTTGGCTTAAATGTTATGAGAACTCTTGTGGATGAATAAGGGCTGGCATCACTTCAGGAGTCTGCCATTCTTGGATGGATGTGGGATTACTGTGCTTTATTTTTATCACCTCAAATGGGACATAACTAACTACAGCAGTGTCAGTTCTGTAGGATACTAAAGATTAGTATAGGGCTCATTTTCCTCACTGAACCCCCAAACCACTAGATAGTTGAGGGGATTTTAAATGCAAGGATACATAACCAACCATTCCTCAGAACAAGACCTTCCAAAACATTTGGCACTGAAAAGAAACCCAAGGAGTTAGGTCACGGTTGGCCGGAGTTACTATTATATTTTACTTGGAGGAACTACAACAAGGAAGTGATGGGGTAGCAGCAAGGTGGGACACAGTTTTGTGTTTACCTGAGAGGCTGTGTGGTGAAGTGATCAAGCCTAAGGAAGCTTTGACAGCAGACAGACAGAACCCAGATTGCCCATCTGGGCCTGCCATTTAATAGCTCAGTGACATTGGCTAAGTTACCTAGACTTTAAGCTGCACTTTCATCCTGAGTCAAATAGGGATAATGATACTCATCTTAAAAGGTTGTTATGATGACTTAATAGCACAGTGTGGCTTCCCAGACCTGAGTCATTCCTATATTACCATATCAGTCAGAGTAATTTTGAGAAAAGTTTAGGAAAGGGATCTGTTACAAAAGTGTGGGCAGGGCTCAAGGGAACCAACTGAGGAACAGTGCAGGACCCAAGGTTAGCAATTGTGGGGATCTGTTATCACGCCAGGCCTGAAGGGGGCAAGAGGAGAAAACACACACAGAACTGGGGAGCTGTTTAGAGAAGGCTGCAGGACTATGGCCATCAATGAAGGGCCCAGTCAGCCTGCAACAGTCCAGCTGGAGAGGAAGGAGGGAACTGAGCATGTACCTCAGCCTCACTCTCCTCCTACCTGCCATCTCCTGCTGGGGCTTCCCATTGGCTGAGCTCAGCAAAATGCCAGAAGCAAGGGAGTTGATGATATGGTCCATGCCAGTCAGCCTCTTGGTAGAGGACAGAGAGAAGGAGGCAGACAGAGGTGGGTGCAGAGGGGCAAATGGACCTATCACTACACTGCCTTGATTACTGTTTGCCCGTTTCCCTTTTAAAATAAAATTTCCTTTTATTAACTGAAATAAATTTGCTTTCTAAGAGACTTCGTAAAGCTCATCCTAAGCAATGATATCCATGAAATCACAGGTTGGATGTGCTAGTTTTTTCCTTAAAATATACAGTAAAATCAATATTAAAATGGAAAGTGTGTACATATGTACTACATTTTGGGAAGTTTGGTCTCAGTTCAGAGCTTGGAACATAGTAAATACTCAAGACAGTGGTCATTTCTGTTGCTGGAAGTTGCAGATGAACATGTAGTGGAACACATTATGCATATTCAAGCTAACTTTAAAAAACATATGTTACTATTACTAACATGATGTTTTCCCAATACATTTTCTAACTATATATTGCTAATTTATAGAAAAAAATGATATAAATGAGTTTTGTGTATTTTTTAAATAACTGGTCCATCTTAATAAATTTGATTATTTGGTACATTGATTTTCCATTAGATTCTTTTGGTTTCTCCAGGCAAACAAGCACATCATCTGGGAATACTGATAAGTTTTTCCTCTTATTGCTGTTTAATGATGTCTTATCATAGTAGCTAGAACCTATAGGGCAATGTTGAACAACAATGGAACAACAGTGGTGGTATCTGGAATTCTTTGTTTCTTCCTTACTTCAGTGGAAATGCTTCTAGCTTTTTGTTGTTTGATGTTTTTAGTAACATTAAACATGATGTTGGCTATTGGTTTATGAAAGATATTTTTTATCTTGTTAAGGAAGTATCTTTATATTTCTGGTTGGTGAAGAATTATTATCAGAACGGGCATTGTGTTTTACCAAATACTTTTTTTTCTTTCCAATTATTTTTTATTTCAATAGCTGTTGGGGTACAAGAGGTTTTTGGTTACATGGATGAATTATACAGTGGTGAATTCTGAGATTTTAGTGAACCCATCACCCAAGTAGTGTACATTGTACTCAATATGTAGCATTTTTTTATCCCTCACTTCCCCCTTCTGAGTCTCCAAGGCCCATTATATCATTCTGTATGCCTTTGCATACTCATGGCTTAGCTCCCACTTTTAAGTGAGAACATATAATTTTTAGTTTTCCTTTCCTGAGTTACTTCACTTAGAATAATGGCCTCCAGCTCCATCCAAGTTGCTGCAAAAGACATTATTTCATTCATTTTTAGGACTGAGTAGTATTCCATGGAATACTACTTTATCCACTCATTGGTCGATGGGCACTTGAGTTGGTTCCACATCTTTGCAATTGTGAATTGTGCTGCTATAAATGTGTGTGTGCAGGTATCTTTTTCGTTTGATCACTTCGTTTTCTTTGGATAGACACCCAGTGGTAGGATAGCTGGATCAAATGGTAGATCTTAAGCAATCTCCATATTGTTTTCCATAGAGGTTGTACTAATTTACATTCCCACCAACAGTGCAGAAGCATTTTCTTTTCACCACATCCACATCAACATCTATTATTTTTTTGACTTTTTAATAATGGCCATTCTTGTAAGAGTAAGGTGGTATCTCATTGTGATTTTAATTTGCATTTCCCTGATGATTAATGATGTTGAACATTTTTTCATATGTTTTTTGGCTGTTTGTATAACTTCTTTTGAGAAAAGTCTATTCTTTGCCCCCTTTCTGATGGGATTATTTGTTTTTTCTTGATGATTTGCTTGAGTTCCTTATAGATTCTGGATACTAGTCCTTTGTCAGGTGCATAGTTTGCAAATATCAAATGCCTTTTAAATGTCAGCTGAGACCTTACATTTTTGGAATAAACCCTGCTTGATTATGATGTATAATTATTTTATTATATTGTTTTATTATTCTTTCTAGAAGAGTCAGATCTTGGTTGAATAAAAAGAGAGTGTGTATGCCTAAAAGTCATGTTCAAGATTTAAAAAAAAATTTTTTTAATTATTTTTAAAGGTTTTTGTGAGTGCATAGTAGGTGTATGTATTTCTGGGGTACATGAGGTGTTTTGATACAGGCATGCAATGCGAAATTAGCACATCATGGAGAATGGAGTATCCATCCCCTCAAGCATTTATCCTTTGAGTTACAAACAATCCAGTTACATTCTTTGTTATTTAAACATATGCAAAGAAATTATTGCTGACTATAGTCATCATATTTTCTATCAATAGTAGGTGTTATTCATTCTTTCTATTTTCTGTTGTACCCAGTAACCATCCCCACCTCTCCTCCCAACCCCCCACTACCCTTTCCAGCCTCTGGTAACCTTTCTTCTACTCTCTATGTCCCATGTTCAGGATTTTGAGGAACTAAATATATATATAACATTCAAGTACATAGTTTTTTTGTGGTTCATAAGCATGATGATTGGGTTTTCATGCTCGTGTGTGAGATGTGCCTCCCTCAAACCTTCTTACGACGTTGGTGCATTACCCATCTGATGTGAAAAAAATTACTTACTATTTACTCTGATGAAGAATAAGGATGTAAGAGCCTATTAGTAAAATTTTATGTTGTGCGTAGATTAATGTTTAAAATAATGTTATATGAGAAATAACTGTAGTTGCATGTTCCCAATAAAATAGAAACATCCTTCACTGGTATGCAGGCTACTGAGTCACTCTTTTACCTCCAGCACCTTAGCAGTTTCTCAAAGAATGGAAGGACCGAAAGTTAGAAGATTCTGTCTCAGCTGTTCTTGCCCTTTCAGAATAGAATTCCAGGCAGAGATTAACTTGGGCCTTGAAAATCTTTCTACTTTTTTTTTCCACTCCAGAATCAGACTTTTATTTTTCCGTACCTACTTAGAGTAGGTAAGTTTATCCTAGTATGAGCAAAGACAACTAAGTAAGTAACAAACCAAAATGTAGCATAAAGAAGTTGTATGTATGTGTGTGATGCACACATATGCATGGAAGGGATGTACTTTACATTTTCTGTTTTTGTTGTTGTTGTTGTTGTTTTTAATTTTAGTAGAGACGAGGTCTCATTTTGTTGCCCAGGTTGGTCTTGAACTCCTTGGCTTAAGTGATCCTCCCGCCTAGGCCTCCCAAAGTGCTAGGATTACAGACATGAGCCACCACACCTGGCCACCTTTGTAATCTGCATAAATCTGGGCCACCCTAGTGTTCACCTCCGCTTAGTGCATATTCAGAAGATACACTGCTCTAACAATCCAAAATAATTGAAAACCTATTTAAATTGTTTACAGTGGTATCCACAAAATGTAAAGAAGGAATTCCATTCATAGCACTCAACCAAATTCCTCTTCACTCACCTTTCATCATAACTTCATCATCCTAACTATTGTGTTATGATGAAAGCCCCATTTGTTTTCTCTTCCTTGAAGTTATGTACTCTCGACCCTTCCCATTGCAAACCAATCAACCTCTTTTCAGTTCAAGCCCTCACCCATTGGCCAGATATATATGTTAAGGCCCAATAACTATTAGGCAAAGGCAAAATCCTTACTAGGCAGAGTTTTTATTTTGTTTTGTTTTCCTGTAATACATGCAGAAACAAAATTTCCAGGCAACCTTTAAACGTCTGCTTACCCAGGCCTTTAATTTTCCCCCTCCAGTAAATATTTCACCATGTTCTAATGTGATAGATTCTAAATCCCCCCCCCCGACCTCCATAAATGAAATTATAGAATGGCCAATAAACGACAGGGGGTCAAAAGCAGGAAGATCTGGGTAGTCCAGGACCTAGCAAAGGAATTCTGCAAGTAATGGAGTGTCGCATTTGTTGGCAAAAACATCGTCACAAAAAGTGCCGTCTCTTCTACTTGGCCTGGTTCCCTCGAAGCTGAAATTTCCCAAAATGTATTACTAAAGTCTCAAGAAAGAGCTACAGGAAGAGCAAGGTGCATTAAGCTGTCTCTCTGCTTCTTAGAGCTGGAGAGTTTCCAAGGGTTGAGATACATCTAGATGGAGGAGGGGGCCCTGACTGCCTTGGGCAGTTTCTGTCCCTGCCCTTTGCCCCCTGCCCATGCCCCTCAGTCTCTAAAGCCCAGACACCCCCTCCAGCAGAGTGATGAGCCTATTTTTAAAGACCAGGCATACTCTGAATGAATAATGACTTCTCTTTTTCTCTACCCTGTGCCAATCAGTGACTCATCAACCATTTTCTAAATGACTATGTTTTCATTCCCTGGTTTCCTTCACAGTGCGATATTAGAGAAGATTAAATGCAGCCCCTAGCTGCCTCCCTCTGCTTTTCTGCATCTTGTTTTAGAGATGTTAATGCCCCCCAAAATAGAAGCATTTCGTTGAATACCAATCATTTAGTGACAAGTGAAAACACACACACACACAGTCATGTTAGGGAAAGGTTTGTATGACTTCCAGGAGGAGGATGGGTAAAAAGAAAATAAAGTGGCATCTTGGACTATGATGGCAAATGTGGTATCTCATCTGGACCTCATTCCCTGCCCCTCACTGGACTCCTAGATTTCCAGGCTTGGCCCCTTTATTAAGGAGCTACCTACACTTTGTATAGTCACTTTCTACTCCTTGCTATTGTCTTACTGCCAAATCGTTGTTTTCTTTTCTAGGGTTTTCTCTTCCTACTCCTGCTCCCAGACATCACTGTTTCCAAAATGAGGTTTGCCTTTTGTCCCAGGGGAAAAGAGAGGGTTTGGATGGTGAACATAAACTCATCACCATTTCTGGGCTAGTTATACTTCACTTATCCTGCTGCTGATGGGCCTGTGGTCTTATCTTCTTGACCAAAAAGAAGAAAGAAAAAAGGAAAGAAAAGAAAAAGAAACCCAATAACCCAATCCCAATCCTTAGATGTCCCTCCTCTACTGTGCCAGGGATCTTCTATTTGTTCTTCTCCACCTTGCTCTGTGGCCATGAGCTTCATTTACATGGATTACATCAACAGAATTCTCTAATCCACAGGCTTCCAGATGAGTTTGAACTGGGGAGAGTATCAGAAGTAGATATGGTGGGTCGGGGATGGGAGGACAGTGAGATTTAGGTATTTATTCTGCTCAGTTCCATCTTTGGGCTGATACTGTCCCATGCCCTAAGGTCACTGCTTCTTTCAAGAAAACCTGCCTACGTTACTCTGTCCTTCTGGTAAGCACCCTTCCTTTGGGCCTAGGGGTGGTAACAGCTCTGCTGCTAAGTCCTGAGTCCCTGCATTGTGCCCACTTGCTGCCATTGTGTAATTAGTCCCTCAGTAAAAGAACACTAACATAGCACATGTGTACATGCGTAACAAACCTGCACATTGTGCACATATACCCTAGAACTTAAAGTATAATAAAAAAAATTAAATAAGTAAATAAGTACAATAAAAAAGCAGAGTTCATTATTCATTTACAGCTTTTCCAAGAAAACCTTATTGAAATATAATTGCTATTCAATAAGGTGCACATATATAAGAAATTAATTGTACACTTATATGTGTACACTCATGAAATCATAATCACAATCAGAATAAAGAATATATCCTTAAAAAAAAAAAAAAAAGAATGCTCTTCAGATCATTCATTGGTTTCCTGCTAAGATCCCAACTGGTCCTATCTTCACCTGTTCTCCGTCCCCATCCTGCCCTGTCATCCTACTTTGCTCTGATTTTTCTCTCACTTCCTGCAGCATCTTCTGGCCTCCTTAGGCCTCTAGCATGAAGCACAGTGAGCCTTCTGAGGCATCTCCTGACCCTTAGAGAAACAACATCAAAGGGGCACAGTGGCAGGGATGAGCCTTTCTGGAGCAAGAAGTACAGCCTCTCAGAAATCTTCAGACTTATGATCTCAACGTGTTGTGCATGAGCTTCAGTTGCTGGAGTTAAAGGATGAGGATTGATTTGGAGCTGGTCTCCCTTGACTAGAGCAGTGATTGAAAAGAAAAATGGAGCTGGATTTTTTATCATGGCTCAAGCCCTCCACATTACAATATACTTGTCCTGAGCCTGCAGGACTTCTTCATCTGTGAATCATTCCCAGATCATCTAAGGCCACAGTAAGCTATACAGCAACTGCATCTCAATAATCATAATAATCATAATTATAATCATCATAATGGTTACCAATTACTGAATGCCAACTACGAACCAGGCGCTCTGCCTGGTGTTTTGCCTCAGTAAACCAAATGGAAGTTTCCATCTCACTCTTAAGGGCTGGCTTCTGCACGGTATTTGAGAAAAGGTCACATTGAATCCTGATCCATTCCCAAGTTGTCCACTGGTGTCTCTTGGATTCCCTGAGTCACATGTTACTTCCGGCTCCAACAGGGGGCACAAAGAACTTCACTGTGGGTGGAGGTCTGGAGCCCTAAGAAGGCCTGCACTTTGGTATGTCTGGGAGTTTTGCGGTGTGGGGGTGGAGTGGGGTGTAGTGATGATTGCTGGGTCCCAGCTCTCACTTTCCTTTCCGACACAACCAGACTGTGATGCGGGTCTGTCAGTCTGTGAGGAAGGTTTGAGTAACATCAAAGGGAAAACCACCTGTGAAGGGAAGGATGAAAAATCGCAGGACCCTTTGAGGTGTTTAGTTGTCACAGGAGAACTCTTAGAAGCACACCCCAGTTCATGCTCTGGCCCTGGCTCTTCGCCTCCACCTCAAGTCAGCTCTCTCTGTGGAAGTCCTTCCTTCTTCCACCTCTGCCTCTCCCCTTTTGGAAATGTTCATCCACTGGGACCATTCTCACCCCCAGGATGCATCCCTCTTCCCCCAGCAGGACCCCTCCCCCAGTGTGAGTTAGTCAACGGGAGGACCTCTGCCCTGTCCCCTGGGTGGTATATATCTGTTCTCTCTCTCTCAAGACCTGCACGCTAAGGTGAGGGACAGATGCATGTCTTTACTCTTCAGCTTGTCTGACAGTAGCTGTGGGCAGCGCACTCTCTCTGTCTCTCTCTCTCTCTCTCACACACACACACGCACACACACACACACACACACACACACATACACCTGTAGAGATCACCCAAGGACAAATATTGATTCTCAGGGACAACATAGTCTACACCCAGATGGATAAAGAATTATTTCCCTAAGTGTTTCCACACTTTGCAAGGCCGCTCTTCTACGGTGAACTTGGTACCTCACATCATTATATGATCACAGTTGGTTTGTCTATTCATTTTTCCCTTTCAAGTTGCTCAGCCTTGGCTCTTTGAGAATGGACTCTTTAATGGCCACCCCTTTCTCTATGCAAAGACCCAGTTCAGGTGGAGAGATGGCCACCTATATGAGATATTGCATTTCTTAGTTAAGGTCCCTCCTCTGCCCGATGGAGTAGGTTTGGTTTCATTCCTCCGGTTCCATATTATCTTGAGCTCTACACCCTCACAACTTCCTGGGGTGGCTGAGATTCGTTTCCCACATTCTTTACCCTAGTGAATGGCCCATCAATCTGGGTACCTAGGAATTGGCCTTTTCTCCTTTCATGCTCTAGCCCTTATGTCACATACGTTACCATGTTCTGGTGA